GGCTTGCTAAATCTCTTTGGCTTCAGTCAATGATTTAACCTGAACCTTCGGTTCCAATTTCTTGCTGGATTTAATCAGACTATATGGTACAATAAAGCATGTTATGTGGTTACCAATAGATTCTGTTTGAAATACAAACTACAAATTGTCGATGTTATTCAGTTTATGCTTTATGCGGTGTTCTAAATGTCAGATATTGCGGTCATCAGATGAAAAGCCTCCATATCAGATGCCAGGTATTTGGGGTATATCGGGAATATTGTAAATATTGAGTTTCATATTGGATAGCGTATATACCCAGTGTTTTAAATATCGGCGATAAATCGGATAATATCGGCGATATATCGGATTTCTAAGGTTTCCGATAGGATAACGTGAATTTGTAGTCGGTTAACGTTTTTGACAAATTATCGGTGATAAATCGCCGATAACGGATAATATCGCCCGATAACAGATGTTTTTTTATCGGTTATCGGCCGTGATTTGAGTTACGATGTTGAAATATAAAACCCGACCCGTTTTCACAGTAAAATGAAAACCCTAACCTTCGTGGATCCTGATCTTCAAGCCCTAAATCACTCTGGCGGCTGTTCGCCAGCGACGAAGAATCTTCGCCGCCTCGACTTCGTCGCCTCGGACCTTCGTGGATCCTGACCTTCAAGCCTCTTTGTCGCCTCGACTACGTCGTCTCGGCTCTTCGTCGTATCGTCATCATCGGCTCTTCGTCGCCTCGATTTTGTCGCCTCTTCGTCGCCTCGACTTCGTGAATCTCCAGCGAGGTATCTCTTCTTCATTTCTTCTCTTCTGAGTCTTCTCGCCTTCGTTTTCTTTCTTTTTTTCTCTTCTTTCTTTTTCTTTTAAGCTCGCCTCCCCGACCTCTTCTATTCTGATTACTGTTCTCCTCTTTTTTCTTTTAAGTTCATAATCCTTTATTTTGCTCATCTTTTTTAATGCTAATTTTCTTTTGGTAGCTTGCTACGGTCATCGGGTGTTGTAAGCTGAAATAACTCCTTCCAGTATTTGTTTGTCAATTATTACTGCTTCGTTTTCTTACACTTTCTCTCTGATTATTACTGTTTTTGTTTGTAGTTAAGTTCTTCTACTTGTATAATAAATTAGTTACAAGTCTTGTAATTAATTTATAGCAAACTTGTAAAGTTATAATTAATTTTAAGAAAATACTCGTGAGACTGTAATGTATAAGCAAATTTAATTTTAATTACAGTTAATTTTCATTGCATTTAGTTTATAGCAAACTTGTAATTAATTTTAAGAAAATACTTGTGAGACTATATAAGCAAATTTAATTTTAATTACAGTTAATTTTCATTGCAATTAGTTTATAGCAAACTTGTAATTAATTTTAAGAAAATACTTGTGACTGTATAAGCAAATTTAATTTTAATTACAAATTTACAATTAATTTTAAACTATTAGTTTTTACTTGAGCAATTAGTTTTAACTGCAACTAATTTTTCACTGTAACTAATTTAGCTAATTATAAGTTTATAACTCAGTCCATAATCTCTGAATTTCATCGAATCACTGTTCACTACGACTAATATTGATTAGTTTTACAACTTGGTCCACAGATAGTTTACAATTGCTATTTTAAGTAGTCTTCCTCAGTTCTTTCATTCCTTGGAATCTTGATGTCATTTTGAACTCAAGTCTGCAACAAAAATAAAACTGATTGATGTTAGGCATAAAATTTCATGACATGATGAAATAAATATAGTAAATATACACCATCTAGTGTATCGCTCCGATAAATACTACTTATCCCCGATATATCCCCGATTTCCGTTATCCGATAAGGATTTTGACCGTCTGATAAATCTCCGATAACCGATATTTAAAACCTTGTACATACCTCTCCCAGGTGTCATAAATGAATTCTAAACTTACAAAGTTGTCAAATCATGTAACTAAGATATAATTAGGAGAAGAGGAACTTGGGGACATACAACTTAGAGAAGGAGAGAAGCCGAGTGAGATTGCTAAAGGGGAGGGCTTTTGGCAACATGAAGTTGAGCATGAAGAGGTGACAAGAAGTTGAGACTGAAGAGACCCTTGACTCGGAAAGTCTGATGAAATATTGAGGCTTAATTGAGATGTAACCCCTTATTTGATATTTATATAAAGCGGTTTCATGTTTGGGTTCAGTCAATGTTATTGTTATGGAGAAGACTTCTCTTTTCCGTCTACCCTAAATTCTAATGCATGATATGGAACTTCAATTTCTTTTTATTTGGTTCTTGCAATATGATGCAAAACTGTTAAATTTTTGATGGGTCTCACTCGGCTCTGTGGCTTCTAGGTTATTATACATTCTTAATTTCTAGTTACTTCAGTTATATTGATTATCCTGTTAGGTACATTGCTTAATTTGATTATTTTATTTTCTCAGATCAAAGCAGAAGTACTATGAACACTGAAGCTACAGAAACCAATAAAGCCCAGACCGAGCCAAAAAAGCCTTCAGAAGTTGTTAACAACTCCAGCAAAGGAGAAGTCATGGAACAAAACCAAGGAGCACACAATGCGCATATCGGAGGAGAAGTGAATATGGAAGCTGCGATAACAGCTGATGATGTTATGCGCGCTGGAGGCTTCGGAGCTAGAGATGATATCGGCAGCTTTCTTCCAGCTGCAATCGATTCTACTGATTTTGAGGCTTCACTTCGCGATGCACGTGATTTCGAAGAGCCACAGGGGGAAACATTGAGGCCAGGGCTTGGTTGGACTGAATCCATGGATGACAACTAAATTTGCTACATGCTAAGTATTGTAACGGATTACTTGTTTATTTTTCCTAACATTGTGAAGCTCTGAACTTTGAGTATATGAGACTAGGCTAACTTACATGAGACTTGCCCCGAAATTAATTATTCTGGTATTTCCCTGGACCTGCTTATTTTGGTATTATTGGCTTTCTTCATCAGTTTTCTACCTTGGTTCAATGTTATTTTGATTATTATTTCCTATATTTGCATTAGGATTACCAAATGGGGATGTAGCTCGATGGTAGAGCACTTACTTCGTTTTGATAAAAACTCGGTATCACGTAGTGGGAGTCCGACTCGTCGATCCTCCGTCCTCCCCTCCCATGTCGCCAAAGCTCTACCTCTCTTCCTTTGTCCCCATCGGTGCATTGTGTTCTCTCTCGCTGTGGTTCTCCAATTCGGCTTACATGTACCTCTCTGTCTCCATCATCCAGACGCTAAAAGCTTCCGCTCCATCGGCATCCTATTCAAGTAGGAGATGTTCATGTCCTCCGTCATGGCCAACGTGCTCACAATCTTCTTCAGCATCGCCATGGCCACTTTTAGCAAGGCTCACTTTGACTCATGGTTGTGTCACTTGTTTGACTCATGGTTGTGTCACTTGTTGGGGTTGTTAATATGTAAGTATAGTCCCACATCAGATGGAATAAAAAAGAGTTACGAGCTTAAAATAGGAGTTGAGGTTAATACCTAATAGGTATAGCTTTTAGGTTTAAATTGACTCCTAGCCTTCGCTTAAAAGCCATTAACGCTATGTTGGGTTTAATTGTGATATTAAGGCACTATAGAATTTTCATCTGTTTATCTTGTTGTTGTTATTATTATTATTTGGTTATTGATGTTGTTATTATTATTATTATTTTATGGTTAACAATTCCTAAATCATTAGGGTTGTCCTGAGCCCCGCATGTGGTAGCTCGGAGTGAAGTTGTTGATTTCTATACTAGAACATTTAAAACAACTCCAAAATTTTATCTTCTTGTTACTTATTTCTCTGGCTTAAACTGAAAAAGGCCATTTAGAAGTTAAGATTAGAATTAAGCTACATGGTCCGTTCGCAAACTCGAGCCACTATATTTTAAGAGAAAATTCATGAATTTTTCTATTACATCCAAAAATAAATCTCTAGCCGATAAGGAAATGAATTTATTCGGAAATTTAAATACTTTCATAGTTTTTCATGACTGCACTTATATTATATATGTTGAATGAATTTATTAAATATAAAAACTTGGTAGGAGACGTATCTCGAACTTTGCTTCTGCTTCTTTTCTGTATGATTTCTACGAAGAATATTCATGAGTGGCATGTTTGGATGATGGTAGAGAAGAGAAGGGGAAGGGAAATTTTGGTTTACTTTTGTTTGGGAGTTTCATTTAGAAGGGTAGATGAGGGAAATGAGGGAGAAAATTGAATTAAAATCTTACCCCCAAATTGAGGGTAAATAATGGGATTTCCCTTCCTTCCCTTCCCTTAGTCAATCTCCCAAACACACCAGAGGTGACACCCTCCCTCTCCATGTTGCTCAAAACTTGCATAACCTACGTCCTCCCAGTCCTTGTTTGGGGTCGCTGCGAATAAGATCATAAAAGTTTTCAACATCCTTGATTTCAAATCAGATACAAGGATATTGAATAACATAGTTCGAGAATGACATATATATAGTGAAATCATTTCCGAGGAAAATAGGGGGAGATACTGAAATGATAATTTCCAGCTCATCTAGTAATTGACTTAAAGAGAAACTGGAAACTCATCTGAAAGTCGAGATATGGAACTTCGAAGTTAAAAAATCATCATCTTCTTCTTTCTTTATTCAGTTCCCGAACCCAGAGTCTCTGGATTATGTATGTTCTTTAGGGTTCACCAACATGGGCTCCTTTAGTGGTATTTTTTCTCCTTGGTCAGAAAAGTCTGGTCTCAAGGCTCTCCCAAAATTCGTCTACGTCTGGGTAGACATCCTCAACCTCCCCCATTCACTTGTGGGACTCTGAGTTCATCATGGCGTTGTTGGGTGACATTGGTAACGTCATCACGGTCTCTGATGACGTAATGCTTAAGAGAAACGCTCTGAAGTGTAAAGCTATGCTTCTGGTTCGTTATCCATCGGAAATTCCTCAGGTAGTAACATTTAGGTATTCTTCCCCCGATGACATTCACATCATGGAAGGCACCGTCCAGCTCAGGGTGGTGGGTAAACCTCTTTCAGAATTCAATGGTAGAAGCAGAGACGACTTTGAGATCTTCGTCCGCAGAGAGGAAAACCTCTCTTCCTCTCTGGTGGTCCCCCCAATATCCTGACCTCTGTCCCTTTGCCTTCAGGAGCAGCTAAGCTTCACTCAGCTCCTTCCCCTCAGCCAGCAGACAAAGGAAAACAACTGATGGTTGCTTCAGCGATTCCACTTATCTCTCAGCCAGTTCCAGCTCCCTTCCTTCCAGTAGTTGGGGAAGGATCTTCCCCTTCCCTAGTGGAGGTCACCTTTAAAGGCGTTCAGATCAGGATTACTAAGGAGTCGTGAGAATTGTTATCTTCGGTTCTCTCTCACTCAGCTGAAGTTGCTTCTCCTCATTCTCTTTCCACCCCAGTAGATCAAGTCATTCTGTGATCAGTCTCTTCGACTCCATGTATAAAGACTCATGCTTCGAGGGCTCCCTCCTGGCTTTGTAGAGAAAATTAAAAAACAGTAAGGAAAAAAAAAAATCCTCCAGTCGTTTGATGGCCCACCTGCCGCATAGAAGACACTTATCCCTAAAGAAGAAAAGCCCCCAAGTTAGCAGCTCTAAGGGTATATCCTCTTCCTCAGCCTCTACTCTCCCTATCAATGCTATGAAATCTTCTCTTCTGCATGAGATCTCTATCAATTGTGGAATCCAGGAACCTATTGATCCATTGGGGCTACTTGATATCCAATCCATGGAAAGAGAGGGTGTCAAGTCTTTCAATTAGTATCCTATCTACCAGTTATTCCTGTTCTCAGTTGTCTTTCTTCTATCTTATCCATGAAAATTGGATCTTGGAATGTCAGAGGGTTAAACAACCCTGTGAAACATAGATTGGTCAAGGAATGTATTCAGGTAGCCAAAGTTAATCTCCTGGGTATTCAGGAATCCAAACTCAACTCCTTTAGCCCAATGTCCTTAAAAGCTTGGGGGGTAGTTGTATTTCTGCTTGGATTTCCTTAGAAGTTGTTCATTCCAGAGGGGGTATTCTTTTGGGTTGGGATGAGTCCACGTTCTCATGCTCTTCCTCCTCCATTGGTATCTTTTTTGTTACAACTATCTTCACTCACAAACATTATAATTGGCAGCTTGCTGCCACTTCTGTCTATGCCCCTTGTGACAGTGAGGAAAGAGAGGTATGTTGGTGGGAAATTCATAGGATCAGATCCTCCATTTTCTTGCCTTGGGTTGTCTTTGGTGACTTCAATATGACTCTTAGTGTTGATGAGAGAAGTGGAAGATCAGGATCTCTTCGTGATATATCTGCCTTCAAAAAGTTGATTGATTCTTGTCGCCTTATAGACCTTCCACTTAGTAGTAGGAAATTTACTTGGTCTAACCAGAGATCTCTACCTGTTCAAGCTAGGCTAGATAGGTTCTTTGTTACTCTGGATTTTGAATTCCACTTCCCCCTTCTTACTCAATATGGGTACCAGCCTCCTTGCTCTGATCATTGCCCAATCATTTTGGACTCCATCTCCCCTTATCAACCACCTTTATTCAAATTTGAGAAGTATTGACTCTCCTTCCACTCCTTCATTCCCTTCATCCAATCCTGTTGGAAATCCTTCACTTCCAGATATGGCCAATAGATATCCTTGCCTCTTAAACAGAAATATATCAAAAAAAAGAATTAAATGGTGGAAAAGCTCTTCTCTTGATTCTCTTAAACAAGTTCTCTCTAAATCTATGGTCACCTTAGATTCACTTAACAATATTGAGGAGTCCAAAGCTCTTTCCAACCAAGAATCCCTCATTAAGCTCAGTATTAAAGAACATCTTCATCATATCGCTAAGGCAGAATAAATTAAGTGGAAGCAGAGGTCTAGAATTCAATAGTTGAAAGAGGGGGACAATAACACAGCTTTCTTTCATAGAACTGCATCATATCACAGAAGAAAAAAATTTTATTCCTCATCTCCTCATTAACAACTCTATTGTTTCCTCAGATTTAGATATAAAGCAAACCTTCTATGACTATTTCTCCAACCTCTTCCTCCAACCTCCTGATTCTAGACTTGTCATTAACTGGAACATCTTATACCCTGATAACAATACCGATCTCTCTCCTCTAGACTCCCATTTTCCCTCTGAAGAAATAAAGTCTGCTGTATTTGATCTTCATCCAGAGAAATCCCCTGGCCCTGATGGTCTTCCACTTCTTTTCTTCCAAAAGTTTTTGGTCATTAATTCATCTCAATGTTACCTCCTTCATTCAATCCCTCTACTCCCACCCTCAACTCCTCCACAACATCAACTACTCTTATATCTGTCTTATCCCTAAGAAAGATGGAGCTAGTTCTCCTTCTGACTTCAGACCTATTAGCCTCCTCAACAGCACTTGCAACATTTTTACTAAAGTTTTGGCCAACAGACTCAAAAAATTCCTCCCTCTGCTTGCAGACAATTCCCAAGCTGCTTTCCAAAGTGAGAAATCTACTTTGGACTCCATTCTCTTGCCACGAGGTGGTTAACTATTGCTCTTCAGGCAAGAAGGAGATTTGTGCTATCAAGGTAGACTTCTTTAAGGCCTTTGACTGTGTTAATTGGAACTTCCTTTTGAACCTTCTCAGAGCAAAGGGTTTCAATTCTTTGTGGTGCTTCTGGATCCAAATCATCTTTTCCTCCTCCAAATCATCTGTTTTGGTCAATGGCTCTCCCACTAAAATTTTCAAGTGTTATCATGGTCTTAAGCAGGGTGACCCTCATTCACCTATGCTCTTCCTATTGGTTGTGGATGTCCTTAATAAAATGATCAAGAGAAGTGCTGCCTTTGGTGATCTTTCTAATCTCAACCTCAAAGGCGAGTTAAACCTCATTAGATCACTACAATTTGCAGATGATACAATCATATTCCCTAAAGTCTCTCGCTCTGACATAACAACCCTCAAAACAGTTCTCTTGATCTTTGCCAATATTTCAGGCCTCAAAGTCAACCAGTCCAAAACTAGTCTCTTCTACTTAGGTAAAATTCCTTTTAAAGGTGCACATTTAGCTAGCTCTTTCAACTGCTCTGTGGGTACCCTCCCCTTCTCTTATCTTGGTCTGCCATTAAAGAAAGGTTCTCTCTCAAGAAGAGATTGACAACCCCTTTTGGATTCCTTTTCTAAAAAGCTTGTGCTATGGAAAAATAAATCGTTATCTCTAGGTGGGAGACTTACATTGCTTAACTCAGTTCTCTCTTCCCTCCCCTTATACTATATGTCTTTCCTTAAACTACCTGTTTGGCTCATTAAAGATATAGACAAAATCAGGAGAAATTTCTTGTGGAGTTGTCATATTCAACCATCTAAGATTAAGTGCCTTATTAATTAACTAGGGAACTGTCTGTAAAGCAAAGACTTGCCATCGACTACTCTAATGTGACTAAAGAAAGGAGGACAAATAGAATGCAAATCATGAATGAAATTAGAGGTCGAACCTAGGGGGGGGAGACAATAGGATTGGATTGATCTTTTGAATACAGAGAGAAGATAACTTTACTGACAAATGAGTTTTTATCTATGATTTTCCAAATCCACTTTGATAGGAGTGCTATGTTAAAGGAAAAAATATCTTTGACCCCATACCACTGAAGGGAATCGGGGCATAGCGGAAGCATTATATTTTTTTAAAATTTATTCTCGAAACAACGATCTCTTTGGTGTAATCTAAAATTTTAACTAAAGAGGTTTGATCAAATCATACCTACAAAGACTCTGATTTAGTCTTTGTCCTCCTTTCTTTAGTCACATTAGATGAAATGTAGGGAATGTCAAAACTTGTAGTTTCTGGCATGATAAGTGGACTGGTGCAAACTCCCTCAGCAGCATTTTTCCTAGAGTTCATCTCCTTGCTTTCTCAAAGAGTTGTTCTACTCTTTCACAAGGTTCCGGTCTTTCTAATGCTTGGCAGTAGCACCCAATTTTAAGAAAAGGAACCTCCCAGGACGTCAGGATTAAAATCTCTGCTATTCTCAACCTTCTAGCTCCATTCACTATATCTGGATCTGCTAGCCACGGCAAGCTCCTATGGCATTACCACCCTTCAGGTATAATCACAGTCAAATCATTCTTTGCTCTCATCTCCTCTGGAGGAATTATCTCCCGCCACTTCAGCTTTATATGGATCTCTCCCACCCCCCTGAAGGTTAAAGTTTTCTTTTGGATTGTAAGCAAGCATAAGTTGAATACAAGGGAAAATTTGGTGTCCAAAGGATGGTCAGGTAGCCCCAGCTACCCTCTCTGTAATGAGACTATAGAATCTCATGATCCTTTGTTTATTAAATGTGCTTTCTCCTTTTTAGCATGGTCGTCTCTTCTTCCTCATGTTCCCCCAGCAGTTTGGCCTTGGGTGATATGATATCTTTTAACTTCAGCTCACCTTTCAGTCAGGATCTATCTACTATCTGGAGAGTTATACTCTCGTGCTTCTGTTAGTGTTTATGGAGTTGCCACAACAACCTCATTTTTAATGGAATCGTTGCTTGTCCTCATCGTATTGCCACTAACGTTGCTAGATATGTCTTATTTTGGACATGCACCTCTACCAGCAGATCTGACTCTAAGTTCCACAAATCGGCTATCAACCTGCGCATGAAGAAAATCGCTCAAGCTAGCGGCGAAGCTGAGGTTGGTGATAATTTCTCTACAGCAATTTGATTCAGTAGTCATTCTCTTCCCAGTTTCTTAGTCCCGATCTACTTCGAAGCTTTCTGGACAATTTGTCGGCTGTTTTTTCTGTTTTTTTTTTTTTTGTATGTGTTAGAAGCGTAGCAGCTTCTCTTATTTTTTGGATTGCATTTTGATGTTTTGTTGGTTGTTTTGCTTTGGGGTCTTGGAATTTTCCTCCAAACTCCTCCCAAATGATGTCTATGTATAATTATGCTTTCATTTATATATATATATATATATATACACTAGTACAAAAATAGTCTGTCCAAACGGTTATTTGAACCGTTTGGACAAATCAAGATAGCTCAAACAGTTTAAACCGTTTGGGATAATAATCCCAAACAGTTTAAACCGTTTGGAATTTTAAAACCCCCCCATACAGAAATCCCAAACAGTTGCAACCGTTTGGGATATTTTATCCCATACGGTTACCCCATACGGTTACAACCGTTTGGGAGTTTTGATTGGTCCTACAGATAAAAAAAAACCTGATATTTCCCCCGTTCTCCCCAATTAACCCGCGATATTTCCCCCCGAAAAATTTCCCTAAAATCGCCGCACCCCCCAAAAATCTCCCCAGCCCTCGAATCTTCATCGTCGAAGTCTGACCGCGGCCGTCGGCCAACGTGCCTTTCGTCCACCGGCACTCTCGCCCTCCCCCACCGCCTTCATCTTTGCCGGCACTCTCGTCCACCGACTCTCGCCGGGGATCTTGCTTCACCGCCTCCTCCTCCACCGCCTCTCGATTCCACCGCATCCTCCTCCACCGCGTCCTCCTCCACCGCACTCTCGTCCACTATTTTTATGGGGCAATTTTTTCTTTTTTGTTTTTTTTTTTTTTTTTGTTTTTTTTTTTGGTTTTTTTTTTTTTTTTTGGGTTTTAAGGCTAAAGCTTTGATGGGTTTATGATGTTTAGGATGTTTATGCTCTGCCCACATCTTGATGAGAAGCAGAGGATGAGGCTGAGCAGGGATTTGGGGTTGGAACCAAAACAGATCAAGTTTTGGTTTCAAAATAGGAGGACCCAAATGAAGTTAACATTTTTTAACTTACTGTCTTCAACTATTTTTGTGTTTTTTTGGAGAAAGTTTTGTTAGATTTGGGTATGAGAACAAAAAAGGGGCCTTTTAGGTTTCTGCTATCAAGGTTTAAAAAAAAGATTATTACCATTGTTGTGTTTCTAAGTTAGATTGGTGATATTTTCTTTGATGTAGGCACAACATGAGAGGCAAGATAACTGCTCTCTTCGTGCGGAAAATGATAAGATCAGATGCGAGAACATTGCAATGAGAGAGGCTTTGAAGAACATAATCTGCCAAATTGCGGAGGACCTCCAGTAAATGAAGACTCCTATTTTGATGAGTAGAAGCTTAGAATGGGGAATGCTAGATTAAAAGAAGAGGTTGACCCTTGATTTCTTTTCTTTTTTATTATTATGGTTATCGATATCTATGTTCATAGTCAATGAGTGCATGTTTGAGAATTAGTATTATTTGATACTAACACATATGATTTATCTTTTTTGGACTAATATCTTATGTTCCTAGAAATGTTTGGGTCAGAAAAATAATTATTAGATTTTATTACATCTATATGTATACATTGCAGTTCTGAGTTTAGCCTATTAGGGTTGCCGTCATTATTCTTGATGAACATTGATCATATCGCAGAAGTGTCATTTATATGCAGTAATTGATTCATTTTTTCGAGTTATTATTAATATTTATTACAGTCTCTGCCGACACCACAACTGTTTTTGAATACATTCATTTAGGTGTTATAGATTGGAACTTTAAAAATATAATGATGAAAACTAGATGATATTTCTTTAGCAATGTATTTAATAACTGCTTTGTCTTTTTACGTCATTATAACTTCAAAATAATCAAGTTTGGGGCTATAAATTATGTTTTATGCTTGTATTTGGATTAATAGCTTTAAGAAGTCGTCTCAGTTCATGAAAGCTGACGCCGTTTTTCTCTTGCCATTTGCTTCAAGTCATTCATACAAAGTCTACTAGCTTTTAAGAACAAAACAGATGATATCTATTTTTATCAGCTGCTCTTCTTTGAATATATATCTAAAGAAGCAATTGTATTTTCGAGTGATAGACTAGATCATATATCAGTTGAAGTTTGAGCATTTAACAAACAGTCTCAACCTATTTCCAGAGTGTATAGAATTCAAGTCATTTTCTTAGTAGAATAATCTTATTGGACATTAAAAGTATCAGTTATCCTCGTTCACTGTCAGATATTGAAGTTAAGTAACTGTATTTTCGGTTAGTGTATTGCTCTTATTATTATCATGTTTCTGGGCATTTACAGATAACACCAGATAATAACTCTTTGGACGATTTTCTATGATTGTATGGTACATAGTAGTTGAATTATCTACAACATAGTTGAAGACAGTCGAACTCGATCTTAAAACTAATGTCTCTGTAGATTAATTTGGCTAGATATGAGTAATTATCACTGAAGCCTTGCTTATTACTTTATTATGCCATTTTCATTATAATCAATTCCTAAATAAAATAGTTTGTTTTCATCTTTCAAGGTTAGCATTTGAAGCATATGCTTGTGTACTTAAAAACCTTACTAATCTAAGACTGAGCAGTACTGATGCCTTCTACATGAAAAATGAAAAATCAACCTTTGCATTGATATGAGGAAGGATCACCTATGATTTACTTCAAATGCATTACGTTTTCTCGATGACACTGGCCAAATAAAATTCTGAAACAATAGGCTCTGTTCTGGATGACATTATGTAGTTTATAATATAGTTATTTATCATCTTTTCTACTTGACTTATTTAAATTGATCACACATTTTTAGCATCTTTATAGCGCGCATTTACATGGAGCATGTGTTGCCTGAGAAGTTTGATTGGTTTTTTTTACATTCTTTGGAATATCCTATCTTTGGGATTGTTTTATCCATGTTATAAAGAATTTCATTATAATCATGATTATTTCGATTAATGTATCTTCTTAACCTTAGTTTAATGCTACTGCAGATGTTTGGCCTCTCTAGCAAGCAGTCAAAAATGCTACATAGTCAGTTTTGTACTAGCCGTTTAAACATAGAAGATTAACACATGAAGTAATTTTTTTCGCCAAAATTTGAGAATAAAAACCTTTTTCTTAACACACTGGATTTTTTCAAAGACTTAATGACAGGATTTTTTCAAAGCCCGGGCATCATTTTTTAGGCCCTGATACCCGAGTTGAGGCCTCGAGTGATTCTGGTGTTGTGTTCATGAGCCTTGTGGCTTTGGTTGATATGTTCATGGACTCGGTAAGCTATTTACCTCTTCAAGTTTCTTTTTTCATAACGTGTGTGTGTGTGTGTGGACATTTACTTAAAGTTTGTTGGTTTGCAGGTTAAGTGGATGAAACTATTTCCAACTATAGTTTCTAATGCAAGAAACATATATACTTGGACAACCTATTGCTCAAGGTTTGTCACGGGAGAATCTTACTAAGATATTTGCAGAATTAAGGCGTTTGGGCTTGTCCCAGGAGGACATTCTTCGAGGAATTTCTTATGTTCCTTGACTGGATGGATCAGGCCACTCCTATCTTATATTTTGGACGTATGAGTCATTTTGGATATTGGAGACATATATAATATTGGATGTTTTTCATTGTGAGATATTGAGTAATCATTGTGTATGTATATGTTTTTTCTCTAATATTATATGTTGAGTAATCATTGTGTATGTATATATAATATTGGATATTTAGCATCGTTTGAGACGTATATATAACACTGGATATATAGCACTGTTTTGAGACATTTTTGTGTATGTATATGTTTTTAATTTCATTGTAAGATATTGAGATATCACTGTGTGAGATGTGTATATTAAATTTAAGCAGGTAGATAAATAAAATAACTAAAAAAAAAGTTAAAAATCAACATGCCAAACGGGTTAAACCGTTTGGCCTGGTCTTAACCCAAACGGTTTAGACCGTTCGGACAAAACGCTATCCAAACGGTCAAAACCGTTTGGACAGATATTTGTCCAAACGGTCTAAACCGTTTGGACATTTGTGACATCCCAAACGGTTACAACCGTTTGGGATGTTGTCCAAACGGTTGTAACCGTTTGGGAGTCTGTCCAAACGGTTACAACCGTTTGGGCGACCGTTGGGGAAAATCCATCCCCAACGGCTTCAGCCCAAACGGGTTTTTTTCTAGCCCAAACGGTTGTAACCGTTTGGGACTGCATTTGCCCAAACGGTTCCAACCGTTTGGGCAGACCCGTTTTGTACTAGTGATATATATATATATATATATATATAGAGTAAAACTCTTGTCAACTTAAGTTGATAAGAGCCATTATCTACTAAAGTTTTTAACCGTTGGATATAAGATCTGATCAAGATATTGATCAAATAAAGATAGCATTAATTATTGAATGAGGGTATATTGGGAACTATATAAAAAAAGGAAACAGAGAACCAATTAATACTTCTTCTCCTCCTCGTCATTTTTCTGCCATAGAGGCAAGACCAAAAAAGCATTGGCATCCCCATAGCAGTCCACCACCCAAACGTGGGCTAGTTCATGTATGACAACGCCACAACGACATCTCCATCATCCCCTCTGTCCCTCTCGAGCACTCGCTCATCCAGGTAGTCGTCATCACCCACAACGGCACCTTTGTTGAGGCCGCCTCCAATGTCGTCTCCTTCCGCCCCCTCGCAACGGGAGGAGGGAGTTTAGGTTTGTGGGTGCTGCGTTGCCAGCAAACAGGGATGACGATGCAGTGATGGGAGAGTTCGGCAGGAGGACGGTGTCGACGATATGGCATTATCACTGTGGGTGCGTGGTAGGGAGGGTGGTGGACCGGGAGTACAGGGTGACTGGTGTCAGCGAGCTCAGGCTCAACGACGGGTCGACATTCTCAGTGTCACCGGGGACCAATCCTCAGGCTACTCTCATGATGATGGGCAGGTGAATGCACTTACAACTCACATGAATCTCAATCTGATTTTCTTTTGGTTTAGACGTGCATCAATGTGAGCGAGAGAGAGAGAGAGACCCTTTTTTTCTTATTTGATATGTATTTTTGTCTTGTGTATTATGAAGGTACATGGGAAGGAAAATCAGTGAAGATAGGCGCGAGATGAGCAATGTTGCTGACAGGAAGGGAAGGAATCGACAGCCGCACCCTCAAAAGGGCATTGAAATTCCCAGAGCTGCTTCAAGAGGGGGACGATCGGAGGCAACACTAGCAGTAGTTTCTCTCTTCTATCAATTAGCATTACACTACACTTCGCAGAGATTAACACATCCCCCCCTCCTCCTCCTCTTTTTTTCTAATAACTCTCTTTTTTCTTTTAACCCTGCAAAGCACTTCTGGTATACACAGACAAGAGTTTGCGTTAACCAGAGTTTTCTTTTTAACCCTGCAAAGCACTGTGTTTCTTCGATAAAACTGTATGCGATACAGGGTCCAGTCAGTTGAAAAAACAGGTGTTCTGTCGAGCTTCCTGGAGATAGATTTGTTTAAAAGAACCATGTGAAAAGAACCAAGATAGTGCTTTTTGTTCTTGTCATGATTGTTGTAAATGATCGAGAAGGAGAAGCAAGAAAACTCAATGCTTTTTTTTGTCTTGCATACCTCTGTGGCAGTAAAAAATGACGGGGAGGAGAAGAAGCATTAATTGGTTCTTTGTTTCCTTTTTTATATAGTTCCCAATATGCCCTCATTTAATAATTAATGCTATCTTTATTTGATCAATATCTTTGATCAGATCTTACATCCAACGGTTAAAAACTTTGATGGACAATGGCTCTTATCAACTTAAGTTGACAAGAGTTTTACTCTCTCTCTCTCTCTCTATATATATATATATATATTACAGTTTAAAAAAAAAGCTCATCTAGTTAATGTCTTCATGCTCTGTGATTTCATAACAAGTCACACTTAAGAAAATCATATATATAACATACCAAAGCAACAACTTCCGAGTTTAAAATTTCTCCTCCATTAGTTCTCTCAAAACACTAAAAATACCATACAATTTCGAAGTATTTAATTTGACTTTTGGTAAACTTTTCTATTAAGACCCCACTCCTCAAGTAAATATTTGTGATTCAAATGTAAAAAAATTCAAGCTTGATTTGTCTTACGAGAACCTGAAACTTTTGTCTTTTCATCACCATACATCTTTATGCTTCTAGCGCACTTGCTGCAATTACCATTTTTGTATGACATTCTACATATATATGTTCAGCTTTTCCGACTAAACTTGCATCATATCTTTTCCTAAGCCTCCTCTCATGAAAAGTTATAAGAAAAAACTAGTTGTAGGTCGAGGTTTAGAGAGAATTGAAAATTCTAATTAAAAAACCCTAACATGTTTATGCATTTACCAGGAACCATATAGAAAGGCAGCCGAAAAACAATAGAGCATTTCAAATACTTAAACGAGATCAATAGAAGAGGGCAAGCCAATAGTTATTTAGCGATAAAAATGCCGGAGGATACCACATGATATATTTATAGATCAGGAGATTGAGGTATGGTTGTTGAATTCTGATTAATGTGGTTCAATTTTATGACTGTGTGGTTTCACAATTATTTTATGGCAACAACACAAGGATTCCTTTATTCATGAAGGAGATAAAGGTTGGACAACCTGCTTTAATGTTCACGGAAGCTTTCTTTATTATTTGTTTCAGTATTTCTTCACAGAATGCAATCATGGTTTATGGACCTCACAGTCTACACCACTTAGGGCTGTCTAATTGGGCATGCAGCCTGGACTCGGCCGGCCCGACCCGGGAAAAGCGAGGATAACCTGGCCAGTCCGGGCTCTAGGCCCGGTTTGGTTCGACGAAGCCCGATCCGGTCTTGGCCGGGCCCGGCTTCTATAGAACCCGGTTTTCGGCTTGGACCTGGACCAATTAGGGAGTTGGTAACTGCTCCCTAGTGTCGTGCGCAGCAGAATCGGAGTCACGAATAAGATAGGAGAACAAATCAACAACCAAAACAAGCACCACACAAGTAAGACACCAAATTTACGTTGTTCGGCAATGTACATACGTCCACAGGGCAAGGAGGGGAAGATTTCACTAATAGAGAGAGAGTACAAATAGAGATTACAATCACTCAATAATCTCACAAATTTAACCCTAAACAAAAACTCTCAAATCTCTCACAAAGTCTCCCTCAAAAGTGCTCAAAAGTCTCTCTAATCTCTGATCAAAATCGCCTCATTCAACCCTAGAAACATTCGTTTCTATTTATATCAACCAGTCAATCCAAAACCAATTGGGAAAACCGACCAGGCCCATAACCGCGATCCGGTCGACCGGGACCATCACTAGTAGAAAACTGAGTATTGGCGACAGGATATTGGTGACGGATTTGAAATCCGTCGCCAATACAAACATTGGCGACGGAACATTGGCGACGGGGTTGTTCCCGTCGCCAATGTTTGTATTGGCGACGGATTTCAAATCCGTCACCAATATCCTGTCGCCAATACTCAGTTTTCTACTAGTGATGGTCCCGGTCGACCGGATCGCGGTTATGGGCCTGGTCGGTTTTCCCAATTGGTTTTGGATTGACTGGTTGATATAAATAGAAACGAATGTTTCTAGGGTTGAATGAGGCGATTTTGATCAGAGATTAGAGAGACTTTTGAGCACTTTTGAGGGAGACTTTGTGAGAGATTTGAGAGTTTTTGTTTAGGGTTAAATTTGTGAGATTATTGAGTGATTGTAATCTCTATTTGTACTCTCTCTCTATTAGTGAAATCTTCCCCTCCTTGCCCTGTGGACGTAGGCACATTGCCGAACAACGTAAATTTGGTGTCTTACTTGTGTGGTGCTTGTTTTGGTTGTTGATTTGTTCTCCTATCTTATTCGTGACTCCGATTCTGCTGCGCACGACACTAGGGAGCAGTTACCAACTCCCTAATTGGTCCAGGTCCAAGCCGAAAACCGGGTTC